TGAAAAGCATGCATCAGAAATTTATACACATAATATTTTCTTGGACATTCAGAAAGAGTTATATAAATCTGTGTTTTATTGTGTTCAAGAATCTGTAGTTATTGAAGATGAAAGTGAAGTTTATGTTTTGAGAGGTAAGAAGAAAAAAAAAGTTGATTGATAAAAATGTGAATGAGGATGAAGATTCTGATGATTTTTATCGAAATTGTCTTCCTTCTCATTGTCCTAATTCTCGTTACAAGGTATGTCTCTTTGTCCTAATAGATTTTATTAAATATAAAATGTAGTTTAAAAATTCACACTGTGAATGTAGGATGTTTTGCCAATTCACAGTGTGAATTCTCATAGAGTTATAAATTGGTTTGTAATTTTCATTAGATTAGTATGGATTATGTATTTTTTTTTGTGAATTTGATTCGAAGTACATATTTATGTTATAGTATTATGATTTCTAATGTTGATTAATAATGTGAATCAATGTTAATTTGTATAATTTTTATTGAATGGTATGAGATAGAATTTCTTATTCACATATTAATTTGTTTATTAATGATAATTTTGTAGGTTGTATTTAGTATAAGGGGTGATAACATTAGCATCACTTGTAGTTGCATGCTTTTTGTCCAGGAAGGAGTGTTATGTCGTCATATGTTTTTCATATTAAATATGAAAGAGTATGATGAAATTCCATCAAATTTCATTTTGAGGAGATGGGGAAAAGATATCATAGCTGATGGATTGTTGAGAAAAAAGTACTCGTATCCTTATAAATGCAGTAAAAATGAATGTTTGATTCAAGATGCTTATGCTATTCTTCATTTGTCCATTAACAAGATAACAAATAATGAGGATGAGTTGGCTAAATATATAAAGCAACTTTAGGGGGTTGATAGTGGTATTCCTTTATGTACCTCATCAAGGGGATCTTCGAGTAGATCGGTTCACATTGAAAAAATTATTGGAGCTGCAGTACCTGATGTTATCAACATTCATAATCCACAGGGGATCAGAAACAAGGGATGGGCCAGTGGTAAAAGAATCAAGAGCACTAGAGAGAAAGTCGCTGAGACATCTAAAAAGGGTTCCAGGTTGTGCAATTTATGTCATAAACCAAATCACAATGCTAGGAGTTGCATTTTGAGGTTAAAGAAGTCTGATTTAGAATCTGAGGTTACAGAAGGCTGATTGTTTCTAATTTTTTTTAAGACTACTAAAATAAGATATGATTTTTGTAATGATCATTCAATGCATAGAAATGTTGAAATATTCATGTTAGTTTTGATATTCATTGTTTTAGACTTTATTTGTAATAATCGAATATATTTTTTTTTCGAATTTATTGGTTAAAGATATTTTTTATTGTTAATTTTTTGAATGTTTTCTAATAAAATTATCATGTTAATGATTTGATTTATGTATTTTAATTATCACTGTTAATCTCACATATAAAATTTTCATGTTAAAGATTGTCTTTATGTAATTTAATTCACATTGTGAATCTCAACTATTAATTGTTCTAATGATCTATATGTACCGTTATTCACATTGTGAACCTCACATATAAAATATCCATAGTAATATGTACTGTAATTCACATTGTGAATCTCACATATAAAATTTTGACAAGGTTAATGTTATTGTATATAAACAATGTAAATTTTCTACATCTATTGTATAGTTGATTAATTACATTAACATTTAATCATTTAGACCAAAAGAAATGGAGTAAATGCATGAAATGACAATGTACTTTCAATTCTTTATTCAAAGTAGAAATACACCCACTCCTCCCTCCACCCACAGACCAATAACATATCTTTAATAAAATATGTAAATGTATAACATACATGTAGACATTCACATGAAAATATAAACATATTTTAAGTATTAGTAAAGTTCATTATATTTGATATAGAAATTCATATCAAATTGTAACATAACAAGCATGTGTATGTTCTTAAAGAAATCAAAGTGCATATAAACTTATACCAATTATGAATAGAAAACTAAAGTTTTGAGTTTTACACTTCTTTTTCCAATCCTTGAACTACTATATCCTTTCTCCCTTTTTTTCCCATCTATTGTTGATAAAATCTTGTATTTCTTCATTAGTCTTTTTTGCAAACTTAGTTGTTTGTGCAATGATTCTTGACCTGTATGTGTTTGCATCACTCAATAGTATCTTTGTCAAATACTTAATGCGTAAATCGTTTAACACACTTTGTTGTTGTTTTGATTCTTCTGGCAACTCACATGTCCAATTTACTGTTTTATCTCCCATATATGTCTCCATATGACGCATGCAAAAAACTCCACAGTCAACATGCTTACCCTTGTGCGCCAATTCATGTTCACCCTTTTTGGTTCAACACCCTCCAAAATTAAAGCTGATTTGTGATTGACACTCATCAAGTACCTACTAAAAAGTATTTTCTGCAAAAAAGAAATTGTCATTTTCTATAATTATTATTTTATTCAAATTAGCAGTCTATTAATATTTATATTTAGAATGTAAATTTACTATTCTTACCAATTCATTAGGTGCATCACGATAAGCTCTTGAAAACTTTGCAACTGAATTCCTATTGTCAGTGACATCAACTGCTGGTTTCTCTTAAGTTTATGCAGATGATGTAAAAGTGATTTTTTTGATGAATTGGGAAAAACACCCGTTTTAATATTTTAAATTGTTAAACTTTGTTTAAAAGATGTAATATATTCAACAAAAAGAACAATTTATTACCAAGTGAACTTTTTTAAATGTCAAAAGTTCTTTGTCCTTTTTCATTGAATCTTTGATATTTGACTCAAATTTATCAGATCTTTCAATGACAGAGATTTTTTTGTCAAATATGAAATGTCTCTGCAAAAATTTTTAATATACATCAAACTTTAAGGACTAAATTGTTAAATTCACAATAAGGTACATTTTAAATTTAAAATTATTCACACTATAAATTATAATAGGATTCACTGTGTGAATTTTATTACTTATTCAGAACTATTGAAAATTTTATTTATTATATGATCAACACTATCATGATATATATATTTTAATTAACTTACCACCATTGATGTATCAAAGAAATACCGATTCACTGTAGAATTTGATTTATGCTTTTCTTCATAGTTCAAAACATCAATCCAAGCATCAATGACATATGCATGTACCCATAATCATGTCTGCATGGTTTCATTCATTCCTCTTCCAAGCACATAACCTCTCTTAGTTTGAAATGCCTTCTCACTTAATTTGTAATCAAATAAAACATAAAAGCAGTTAATAGAAAATTAAATTATATTTGTATTTATATACTATTGTATTTAAAGAAAAGATAACATGAATTATTACCTACTATTACCAATTATGGAAAAAATTCTATCTGATACTTTTACTTCATCTGGATCTACAAATTTCGATGCACCAACCTCTTTTTGATTATATGGAGAAGATACCTTCAGTGATGGTTTTTTTAATCGTTTTCCTACATCTATTCTTCCCTCTTGATCATCTTAAATTCCCAAGATATTATTGTCACATTATGTTTCTTCTTAATCATAACTTTCTTCTTCATCAAGTTGTTCATCTTTTCTTTCTTTCTTATCTTGTTCATCTTCACTGCTTTCATCTCCTTCTTGAAACTCTTGTGTTAGACCAAGACCAAGTCCAAGTGAAAAACTAGGCATTGATGATTTTCTAGTATTTTTTTTCCTTTTTTTATCATCTATTATTGTTTTTTTATTTATTTGTTCTCTCAAACTTTTTACATTGACAAAATCATCATAATCATCAAAATTTAAAATACATTGAACAGAATCAACAATCTCATGCATTATTGGATCATTGTATAAATTTCCTGGTGTTACCATGATTGGTTGATTCTTTATTTTTTTGCTGGTGTAGTTTCTACATCCACATCTTTATGTATATCACCCTTATTCCCATCCACCTTATTCACATCCCTTTCTCCATCTTCAGGTATTTCATGTTCATTAAAATTCTCATCTCTTTTTTCTTAATTTTCATTCTCATCACTTTTTGCATCATCTTCATTCATCACATTTGTTTCATCTTCATTTTGACTTTTATAAATGAATTCCTTTTCAAAGACTTTCTTCATATCTTTCAACTCATCGCTTTCTGTGAATTTTGTTGTTGAAAACTCAATTATCTTTCCACAATTCATTTTATCATTCCCTAGTTTTTTATAATTCTTTTTTGCTTTGAATACCAATTCCTGCAAAATGAAATAAAAAATGTCAATAACAATGATTTTTTGAACTTTTTTCTATAATAAATTACAGTTTCACAATATGAATGCATTGATGAGGTATCACACTTTTAATGCATTTTAATAAATTACATATTCACTATGTAAATTTATTATAGAAAAAGTAATAAAATACACCTTTATATTCACAATGTGAATCACTTTATGAATTCATCTTAACTACAATTTTATTACATATATCTGTAATACAGCTTCACAATTTTTTTTAATTATATAGATTATTAACTTACATCGAGTTTCATATCTTCATTTTCACCGGTGTCAGATTCTTCATCATTCTCTATAACATCATCATTCCATTCCAAAGTTCCAAAGTCACTACTCTTTAACTCAGCTTTTTCCCTTTTCACCATCATGTGATAATCCCAAAAATGTAGTGCATGTATTTGTCTATTTTTCACTCTTATCATTTCTCATAAACTCCAAATAAGCTAGCTGTTTATGTAAACAAAATTATGATTAATTAGTTTTCTTATAATAATATAAATAAAAGTGTTAATTATAAGAGATTTCCTTACCAATAATACCAATAATACAAGAAGTGGCCCACAATAGTAGTTTCCTCTATCAGTTTTATCCCACGTCGTCTTTGACATTTTCAAGCAATTGGTTATAAAACCACACCAATCTATTTCTCTCATAGGTGTTTTGCCTAACAAATGTGGCAATACTGTTGTTTTAAAAGTTCCATGCTTATTCTGTTCACAGATGGTATTAACAAACAGTAATAGAAAGTTTGTTCTGAAAATAATCCCTGAATTTAATGATTCTTTAATCCTCTCTTCAACATCTGATGGTCCCAGAAATTCCATTGGTTGCAATTCTCAGCAAAGATCCCAATCACATTTCTCTAACAACTTTTTTCTATTCTTAGGTGCTATCTGTTTTTTCGAAGCAAAAATCTATAAAGTCTGCAGACCACCTCTGCAGTAGAAGAGGTGGACCAAACGGCTGCAGACTGTAATAAGAAGCGTGTTTATTTTTTTAACATCTGCATGCTGCAGATATTAAAAAATTAAAACAAACTGATTTTATAATCCGAAAATAGTTTTTTAATACCGAAAATTTAATAATGTATGACATTTCAGCAAAAATTTATGATAATTCAGCAAAAAATAATGATATTTTAACAAAAAATAAAGATATTTTAGCATAAAATAATGATATTTCATCAACAAATTATTATTATTCAATATAAAAAATTTCAACAAGAATAAAAAAAAACGAAAAAAATGTGAAATAAGATTTCAGCAATATATAATCAATATTTTAGCATGAAAAAAAGAAGAAGAAGAGGTTGGAAGAGATAGGAAGAGGCAAAACAAGTGCTGCGCCAAGAAGAACACGCGCACAAGTTTTTTAATCCGAAGACTTCTGAAAACAAACAACTGAGAGATGAAAAGTGTTGCGCGTGTGCTGCGCCGCGCAGCAATAAGAGGTCTGAAGAAGTTTTTTCCAAAAAACAAACATCACCATAGATTAAAGATTTAACGATATCATAAAACTTTTTTGGACTCCTTCTTGTTTTCAAAGATACTCTGTCATTTGGATTTATTGGCACTTTTGCCTTTTTTTTTTTCTTTGACTACTTCGAGAGTCTTTGTCTTGACAATCTTCATTTTTATCTTTGCTTCATTTGTTTTTCTTTTTCTTTTACTTGTTAGTCAATAATTTTCGTAAGCTTCTCATACTATAACATATACTATAAAATAACTAACAATACAACAAATTTACATGTGAAATTTTTTAAAAAGTTTGTTATTAATAATCATATCATTCACAAGGTTTTTGTTTTGTAAAATATAATATAATATATAAAATAAACATGTGAATTTGTTTATAACTTTGTAAATTAAACATGTGAATAGTAATAAACAAACCTGTTGTTTTTTCATCAGATTCTTTCTTTACACAACTAAAAAGTAGGGTAATATCGACAAAATTTTAGTGACGGAAAAATCTGTTGGAAACAAAGACGGAATACCGACAGATTTCCGACAAATTAAAAAACCTTAATTATATGGATTTTAGTGATGACTTTTGCGACGGTTTAGTAACACCGTACATTTTTGTTGGTAATCCGTTATAATTTACGGAGGCTTTCCCAACAGAAATAACAGAAATGAACAATTTTTCATTCCGTCAAAAATCCGTTAGTAAAATTTGTTTATCTTTTTTTAAAATTTAAATAGCTGGGGCAATTTTGTAAATATAAAAGTGTTAAAGGGTGTTCCTGAACAATTCTGAACTCTGAACTAAAAAAAGAACGTCGTCTACAGATTTTTCCCTGTTCTCACTTTCCCTCTTATCTGGCCACTGACTCCGCCAACGACGTTACCTCCGCCATCAGCGCCGGCAACAAAGCCCTCCAGCTCCTCTAAATTCGTCGACGCAACATGCCTTCTCCCTCTCGGTCTGACCTGCAACCCACTGCCCCTTTAACTAAGTAAAATTTCTCCCATTTATCTCTCTATGAACGACGACCAACATCGTCTCACTCTTTTGTCTCCGCCGCCACCGTCAAAATTGTTTCTGTAGCCGGTGGACCTTACCATTGGATCCGATTTCACCTTTTTTTCTCTCCAAGTTTTGGTAAAAAAAAACCCTAACTTATTTTTTCTGTTAGATTCTTTATGTACATTACTTAAATGGTGATTGTTTGTTCTCTTAGCACGAGAGTTTGAATAAGCAGATAATTCATCTCCTCAGGACTAGCAACAGGTCTTCTCTATTAAGTAATTGGGGTGCCGGCATCAAATTACACGTATATTCTTCTGGGAATCCAAGATTTGGTAAATTTATTGGTGGATTTTTTATTTTGTCAAATTTTGTGGCTTAGCTTTTCGAGATTACAGATATATTTATCCATATCCACAATCAACTCATTGAATTTTGTTGATAGCTTTTTTGTTTCTGTTTAATCACTCATATTACCATTGTGTGCTTTGCATAGATAGGTACTCTGCAACCACATGAGGAAGAAGATGAGGACTTCTCTACCTTTTGAAGTGGCACACTAGCTATTTGTAAGGTATGCTTTTGGTAATTTTCCTTATTATAGAGCAAGAAAAACTATGATAACAAGTCTCTCAGATTCCTTTTTACGTTGCTCCCAAACCAAGTCTCATTTATAGGTTGTTAATAACTGTAAATGATGATTTGAAATCTTTGGTAAATTACTTGAGGGCTGATGGAAATGTTTTATTAATTGGCCTTTGGGGTCGATCCATGGGAGTTGTAACAAGGTAATAACCTTTTGCCACCTGTCAAAGTAAACATAATAACTATTAAATGAATCAATTGTAAATATATGCCAGTTAAATTTCATTACATGTAGAAGAAAAAATGGGTTATAAAATGTAAGAAAATGGAATGAATTGCATTCCTTCAAGAATGGTCCATTCTATTTGATCAAAACTTTTTTTATTGTTAAATGCAAGAAATAGCAACGTACTTTCATTGATTTTTTTATTATAGCATTCTAGTTTCATTTCTTTTTATTATAGCATTGTACATTCAAAAATCTACACAGTTATAGTTATAAAGTGCAATTACTTAACAAGAAAATGATTGATACTGCAATGTTGTAATAGAAAGAAATGAGACTAAGATGCTATATGATAAGAACAGGGTTAATAAGAATAGAGGTAGGCTAGCTTTTTATTAGAAATGGCCTGATTCGAGAGGGGCAAGGTCTCCAATTACAGGAAAAGATAAATATGAGAAATATGTGATGATCAACTGATAAGTAAACCTATTATTTATAATACCCTATTCTTAATATTAAATATGGTAGTTGCTAAGGTTACGTATGGTAATTGCTCCCCACTTCCTTTGATAACCACCTCTTGATTTGGGTAACTCCAGCCAATTGCCATTTAATTGATTTGGCCTAGTGGATTCAGCCAATTCCCAAAAATAGAATTCAATTGCCCCATATTGGCAGCTGTCATACGATTCTTTTTCCTGGAATATACCTTTAGTGGATTTTTATCATTACTTCCCTCCCGGTAAAACGCCTTGTCCTCAAGGCGGAAAGTAGGGAATTGCTCCTTTATCAAATCATAAGTTTCCCATGTGGACTCTCTTCGATGGGGCGGTTACACCAAGAAACCAACAGTTCTAAGTTTGGGTGGCCAGCTTCACGAACCCAACGATGAGTGATGACAGAACTTGGTTGCCAGTCAATTTCCCAGTCTTTGGTGATGGGTAAAGGTGCAGCTGGGACTGAAGAAAAGGAGCCATGAGCCGGTTTAAGCATCGAAACGTGAAAGACTGGGTGAACTCTAGCTTCGGGTGGTAGTTCCAGCTCATAAGCAACTGGGCCTACTGTTCGTTTAATACGATATGGGCCAAAAAACCTTGGAGAAAGCTTCTCGTATCGGCGCTTGGCCAAACTTTTTTAACGGTAGGGCTGAATCTTCAAGAAAGCATAATCACCAACCTGAAACGTGAGTTCCCGTCGCTTCAAATTTGCTTGGTTTTTCATCCGGTCTTGGGCCTTTTGGAGGTTTTGTCGTAGGAGCTTCAACATATCATCCCTATCAAGTAAATTGATGTTCCAGTTCTTCATTTTTGGTTTCCCCTGTAACATAAGGAAACAAAGAAGGAGGTTCCCTGCCGTAAACAACAGTAAATGGTGTTGTACCAGTGGATGTATGGTAACCAGTGTTATAAGAATATTCAGCCCATGGTATGAAAGTACTCCATTTGGTTGGTTGTTCACTAGCAAAGCAACGTAGATAAGCTTCTAAACAACGATTTAAGACTTCCGTTTGACCGTCCGTTTGAGGATGATAACTTGTGCTCAATTTCAGTTTGGTTTGACTTAATCGGAACAATTCTTGCCAAAAGTTGCTAAGAAAAACCACGTCTCGGTCAGAGACGATAGAGCGAGGAAAACCATGTAATCGGATAATCTCTTTGCAAAATATCGCTGCTACCCCTTTAGCCGTGAATGGGTGAGATAAACAGAGAAAGTGAGCATATTTGCTTAGGCGATCCACCACGACTAAGATAGTATCGAAACGGCTTGATGGGGGTAAACCGACGATAAAATCAATAGAAATATCCTCCCAAACTTGGCTTGGAATGGGCAAGGGCTGAAGCAAACCGGCGGGGGACAGAGTTTGGTATTTCTGTTGTTGACATATGACACATTGCTGCACAAAAACCCTTACATCCTGTTTCATCTTTAGTCAATAATAACGAGAGCACAATCGTTTATAGGTTTTTAAAAAACCTCCATGGCCACCAAGTGGAGTATCATGTGCTTCCTGTAACAGTTTTAGTCTGAGGGAAGATACTTCAGGTATTACCAAACGCCCTTGATAAAACAAAAGCTGATTTGCAAGAGAAAAATCAGTGACAAATGAAGGATCTTCATGTAGTTTGCTAATCAAGTCTCTTGTAAATGGGTCGGTTTGATACCCTGCTTTGATTTCAGCTACCTCAACACAATAAGGCACAATTAATGTCAACAATTCTCCTGAATGAGGTCGTCGAGATAGAGCATCAGCTCCCTTGTTCTCTTTTACTGCTTTGTGAATAACCGAGAAATCATAAGGCATCAATTTAAGTAGCAACCTTTGCTGCTCAGTAGTGGTAATTCGATGTTCTAACAAAAATTTCAGGGTATAATGATCGGTACAGATTAAAAAATGACGACCAAGCAGGTAATGACTCCATTTTTGTACCGCCAGTACCAATCCAACAACTCTCTGTCATAAGCCGATTTAAATCGGTTAGATGGAGAGAACCCCTTGCTGAAATAGGCCACAGGATGGTCTTGCTGTGATAATATTGCTCCCACACCATCCGATGAAGCATCACATTCGATGACAAAAGGTTTTGAAAAATCGGGTAACCGAAGGACTGGAGTGGATAACAAAGCCTTTTTTAAGTCATTAAAGGCTTTAAGGGCCTCTTCTGACCAGAGAAATCCATCTTTCTTGGTTAATGCAGTGAAGGGACGGGCTATGATGCCATAATTACGAACAAAGCGTCTGTAGTACCCTGATAACCCAAGAAAACCTCTCACTTCCTTGACTGTCGATGGTACGGGCCATGATTTAACTGCTGATATCTTTTCTTCTTCCACACTAACTGTTAGGAATCGGACCGGGTACACGCAGCGGAAACACACTGTCACACACTCACAAACTCACAAAATAAAGCAAGAAGAACACAAGGATTTTACGTGGTTCAGATTCGGTGCAAATCCTACATCCACGGGCTGCAACTAGAGATTTTAGTATTATGAGAAGATTACAATTGTGATGAACACACTCTGCACTTTATGTTGTGTTTTTTGTTTGCTCGATACCTTCTGCATTTATAGGAACTCAAATAATTCCAATGGACAAAAGCAATGGTGGAGAATTAAAGAAAAAAAAACAACAAGTATTGATTGCCACTCCTTCTCCAATTTGTCTGCCATTTTATGAGTGGGTCTTCACACCACTAGCAATTATCACCATCCACTAATTTGGCCTCCACCAATTTTCTCCACCAACCAACAATCTCCCACTTGGAGAAAATAACCCAACAATTCTCCAGTAATCTTAAAACAACCAAGTCTTCCAAGCCTCCAGTTCCCAAGAACAAGCTAAACTTAGTCCAATTTCTCTAATTGCAGCCGCCCCTCATCATCATCTAGAAGGGCCAGTTGAAGTTCCCACTAGCTCCAACTCAGTCGTGGCTAATCCCACCACCGACTCATCCTCTGTCTCAACCGGTTTGGACACTCCACCAGATCCAGAGATACACCGAGGACCACTAACACTCTCCAAACATAGCAAACATCCAACAGGAGAGAATTTTTCAATCTTAGTCTTCAAAACCCAACGGCTCTTTGTAACTTTACCTGAAACACGTCCCGTGCTCCTACTGTCACCAAATTCCCTGAATGGTTTAGACTTTCGAACTCGTTCAGCTAACATCTCTTTGGCTCCAGAGTTCATGTTTGCAAAATGAACTCTCTTAGCACCAGATTTAGCGAACCAGATTTTGTCATGCTTAACCGGGACGGTCATACTTCCCTCAGCAGGTACCTCAACCATATACAATGACCCACACTTCATACCATGAGCAATCACCGAATTACCATTGACCACCCTCCATTTACCACCACCAAACATTACTTCCAGTCCTTGTTTATCCAGCTGACAAACAGAAATCAATTTCTTTTTCAGCTCCGGAATCACCCTGACATTCTTCAGGTTCCATGTAGTTCCCAATGAAGTAACCAGATCAATATCTCTATGCCCGTTACTTGAAGCATCTCGTCATTTGCCAACCGTACCTTCCCAAAATCTCCTTCTTTTAGATTCACCATCGTTTCCCCGTTGTCCATGGCGTGAAATGAAGCCCCTGAATCCATGACCCAAGAGTCTACAGAACTTTCCATACTGAGTAACAATGCATCATCCCCAGAAAAATTCTCAGCATCAGCAATGTTCAATTCTTTCTTTGGACATTGACTCTTAACATGTCCCACTTCTTGACAGTTCCAGCATTTCACATTCTTCAAAGTTCTAGAACTTTTTCCCTGACTCCCACTGCTCCCACTATTCCTGCTATTCACTCTACCTCTTCCGACATTTAATAAATCAGAAGAGGAAGATCCACCTTGATTCTTGCGTCTGATATCCTCGCCTAGAACCAAATCTCTAACCCCTTCAAAAGTCATACCACTGGTCCCCACGGAACTCGTAACAGCAGTAACTGTTCCGGACCAGCTATCAGGTAGAGAAGCTAGTAGCAGCGAAGCTTGAGTCTCATTATCAAATTTAATTCCCACAGATGATAATCTGGACAGAATTGAATTTAGATTGTTAATGTGAACCGTAACTGAGCCTTCCTCATTCATCCTTGTAGTGAACAACTCCTTCATCAAGAACACCTTGTTAGCCGCCGATGGTTTCTCATACATATTTGACAGAGCCTCCATCATACCACGCGCCGTGGTTTCATTCATGATGTTGAAAGCAACACTCTTCGTCAACGACAATGTAATAACCGCCTTGGCTTTCTTGTCCTTTGAGTTCCACGCATCTGCAGCAGCTTTTTCCATTTTCTCCGGTTTGTCTCCGAGTACCACGTCCAAGTCTTTCTGACATAGCAATGCTTCTAATTGCATTTTCCACCAGCTAAAATCAGAACCATTGAACCTTTCGATTATAACCTTGTCTTCAGCCATTACGGCAAACAAAAAAAATAAGGTACACTCGTGTGTGACAGAAAAACGATCGTACCCTCCAAAACCTCGCTAACCAGGCTCTGATACCAGTTGTTAGGAATCGGACCGGGTACACGCAGCGGAAACACACTGTCACAAACTTACAAACTCACAAAATAAAGCAAGAAGAACACAAGGATTTTACGTGGTTCGGATTCGGTGCAAATCCTACATCCACGGGCTGCAACTAGAGATTTTAGTATTATGAGAAGATTACAATTGTGATGAACACACTCTGCACTCTATGTTGTGTTTTTTGTTTGCTCGATACCTTCTGCATTTATAGGAACTCAAATAATTCCAATGGACAAAAGCAATGGTGGAGAATTAAAGAAAAAAAAAACAAGAAGTATTGATTGCCACTCCTTCTCCAATTTGTCTGCCATTTTATGAGTGGGTCTTCACACCACTAGCAATTATCACCATCCACTAATTTGGCCTCCACCAATTTTCTCCACCAACCAACACTAACTCCTTTCGAGCTGATCACATGCCCAAGGAACACCACCTGTTCTTGCCCAAAGCAACATTTCAATAGTTTGGCAAAAAATTGGTTGTCATGAAGTAATTTTAAGGCCTGTTCCAAATGGAATTTGTGTTGTTCCATACTTGGACTATAAACTAAAATATCATCAAAGAACACAAGTATGAAACGTCGCAAGTATGGACGGAATAAATCATTCATGATAGCCTGAAATGTGGAAGGAGCATTAGTTAGGCCAAAAGGCATGACCTTGAATTTGTAATGACCCGAGTGAGTGCGAAAGGCTGTTTTTTCGATATCCGGGGCTGCCACTCTAATTTGATAATAACCCGATCGCAAATCGAGTTTTGAGAACACTGTAGCACCATGCAGCTCATCGAGTAATTTGTCAATATTAGGGATCGGATGTTTGTCGGCTATAGTTATCTTGTTGAGGGCTCGGTAATCGATGCACATCCGCCAAGAATTATCTTTCTTCTTCACTAGTAGTACAGGGCTTGAAAAAGGGCTGGTGCTTGGTTGAATAAAACCAGCGGCCATCAACTGTTCCACTTGTTTTTCTATCTCATTTTTTTGGGAGTAGGGATAACGGTAAGGACGGATGTTAGGTGGAGTGGAGTTTGGCATAAGTGAGATTGAATGGTTTTGTGATCGAATCGGGGGTAGATGTTGAGGCTCTTCAAAGATGGTGGTGTATTGGTTGACAACAGGTTGCAATGGGAGGGGTATACAAGGGGTAGTTTCTGGTTCAATGGCTAGGTGTTGGAAACTGGATGACTTTTGAGGGCCGGATGAAATGCCTTGTAGCTTATATCGCTTTCCATCTATTGAAAAAATCATGAATAATTCCTTCCAGTTAGCTTGAACTGTATTTAACGTAGCTAACCATTGAACACCCAAAACTAGATCAGCTCCACCAAGAGAGAAAGGATGAAAATTCTGAGTGATCTTGAGGTCATTAATCTGTACAGAAAGATTTTTGCAGATTTGACCACATCAAATTAGGTCTCCGTTACCGATTTGAACACCAAAAGACGTTACCGGTTGATTCGCCAACTTAAGTTCATTCACCAAGACATCTGAGATAAAATTGTGTGTAGATCCGCCATCTATTAAAATTAAAACCTCTGTAGAATGAAGCATACCATGGATTTTCATTGTGGTAGGTTGCGATTTTCCCAGAATAGCATGTAAGCTAATTTCAGCAGTCTCCTGTTGGTCAGAATCAAGATCAGTTAGATCCGTTGTCGGAGATTCTTTAACGGCTTCATCAGCTTCTAAAACCTTGAGGGTACCGGTTTTGCAACGATGACCCGGTCCATATTTTTCGCCACATCTAAAGCATTCCCCTTTTAGAAATCGATTTTGCTTCTCATTTTTGGAAATTCGTGAAACATTTCTTGATTGGTTTGATGTTTGGGCTGGGATAAAAGAGGTCGGTTTAGGATCTGCTTGTGAGAGTTTCGAATTTGGGGTTCCCGAGACATTTTTCCCAGATCGATGACAGGTGAGTTTAGATTCGAATTCCAAAGCCAGGCTCATGACACTATATACCGTACGGGGTTTGTGAATTCGTACATCTGATTTTAGTTCATCTTTTAGGCCATTTAGGAATACTCCTAAAAGACAGTGATTTGGCCAATTTGAAACCCGAGAGGTTCTTTTAGCGAACTCCTGCCGATACTCTTGTACTGTACCAGTTTGTTTTATGCTGCATAGGAACTCATCAGGGTTCTGAAACTCAGCAGAGCCAAAATTTCTTGTAAACACTTGGACCAATTCTTCCCAGAAAGTGATCGGACGATCATTAGATAACAATGAATAGAGGTCCAAGGCATCTCCTTCTAAGTGCATTGAAGCTATCTCCACCTTTTCTTCATCCGGGATCTGATAGTACCTGAAGTATTTTTCGGCTTTCAGCAGCCATCCACGTGGGTCTCCGCTACTAAAAGTTGGGAAATCAATTTTGTTGTAGGGTTTATGTGGCATTCGACCCCTCCAACTGCTTCCCCCCTCGTCGTTCTTGCTCTCGCTGGACCGTTCCCTCTTTTTCAGGGCTGCTATATCTTCCTTCATTGTTTCAATTGACTCCAGCTTTGCTGTTATGGCAGCCAATTGAGTGGCAATGGGATCGGGTGGGTTGTTGTCGCTATTCCGGGTTTGCACCATGTTGTTTCCCGGCAATGGAACCAAATGATAAGAACAGGGTTAATAAGAATAGAGGTAGGCTAGCTTTTTATTCGAAATGGCCCGATTCGAGAGGGGCAAGGTCTCCAATTACAGGAAAAGATAAATATGAGAAATATGTGATGATCAACTGATAAGTAAACCTATTATTTATAATACCCTATTCTTAATATTAAACATGGTAGCTGCTAAGGTTACGTATGGTAATTGCTCCCCACTTCCTTTGATAACCACCCCTTGATTTGGGTAACTCCAGCCAATTGCCATTTAATTGATTTGGCCTAGTGGATTCAGCCAATTCCCAAAAATAGAATTCAATTGCCCCATATTGGCAGCTGTCATACGATTCTTTTTCCTGGAATACCTTTAGTGGATTTTTATCACTATAATACATAAATAAATGAAAGTACCTTTCTATTTCTTGCATTTAGCTCTTTTGGAAAAGACTTTTTTTTGACTTAAAAAAAAACTTTCAGGTCCCTTCGGATATGCCATTAATTGATATTCCATGTTCTGAGGTATTTTCCCTTCTTTTTCTCTTTTCTCTCCTGTCCTTCAGTTGAATCATCTTCATTACTCCCTCCATACCAAGAGTCGCCTCATGTGTAATCACTAAAATGAATTCGAATCCGAATGGATGGAATTGGAGTTAAAGTACACTTTCACATTCCGTTATTATGATGGAATTGGATTCTGTCCATTCGCAACCATGGATTAGAATCTTGAAATCTGAAATATTTTGATTGAACTAGAACTGAGTTCCGTTCATTGACAACCAAATGCTCAATGGAATGGAATCTTGAATCTTGAAATCGTACTTTGCAAAGTTCCCGATTATGGCATCATACATTATGAAATAGCAATCTACTTTCATATAAGTTGTATTTGGGAATAATGGAAAAAATACATTGCTATTATGAGTAAAAACATAAAATATGTTGTATAATCGTGAAAAAACTGAAAATGGTTTTATTATGATTATATGAAAGTATGCAACTATAATTATGAATTTCATAAAAGTACGTTGCTATTTATAATCATTAACTATTTTTTTTCAAACTTCAGGTGGAGGAATATTGTACTTAAAATCACATTTGTTTTACGCATTATTATAATTGCTACTTGTTTATTCCCCTTTATGGTCAACATTGGAGGGAATTTATGGTATTTGACAATATATAAATATCTCTCAATGATAGGTATGGAATCCACGAGCTAATGAAGAAGGATACTCTCCATCGGTTGTTGAGGTCGTGAGAATTATAGATGAAATTTTGAATTTGATGTTTTTTAAATATCGAATATGGATGAAAATTTATGGATTTAGTGTATGTCGAATATGGATTTAACAGATTGAATTTTATGGATTTACTTTTATATTTGTTGGTTTTAAAATATAGATTTAATGTATGTTTAAAAAATTTATGTGTTTAATATGTAATTATTTTTAATTTTTAATTTTTTTATGAATTTATAATTTTTTTATAATGCCAAAATCTGTCGCTAATCTGACAAAAAAATTTGTCGGTAATCCGTTAGTGAGTCATTTCGATTTCGAGAGTTCGTCAGTAATCCGTTAGTAATTTATTCCAGATTTCGTTGGTAATCCGTTAGTAAATTGTTCCGTCAATCCGTTGCAAACAAATTCCGTCGGTAATCCGTTGCAAAAAATATTCTGTCGGTGATCCGTTACTATTTCTGACAGAAAAATCCCTCGCTAAAAATTAGACGTAACCGTCGGAAATCCGTTACAAGCAATTAGCAACAAGAATATACCGACAGATTTTGGTCTGTTACAATTCCATCGGTAAAGAGTAGTAGCAACGGATTACCGACGGTTTTGGCCGTCGGTAATGCTCTTTGTTGTAGTAGTGTTACAAGGTTATCATCAACTTTAATAGGAGTCACAAATCTTTTGTATTCAATCATTTTAAGTCATGGACTCTGTCCGATTTCTGTTCATGTTTTAACAAAATTAATGAGAATTTATTTTATAATATCAAATTCAATTATAATTTTATAAATACTAACTTTGAGTTGTTTTCTTTTCAGGTGTCATGAAAACAGATTTGTCTTGCTTCGTTGACCTTTTCATTTTCTTTTTTTGAATTGTTGGAGTATGCCAGATTTCTGTTCATTTTTTAAAAAATAAAATTAATGATAACTGATTTTATATATTAAAGTAAATTATAATTATATAAATACTAACCTTGTGTTGTTTTCTTTTCAACTGTCTTCAAAACAGATTCATCTTGCTTCATCAATATTTTTGTTTGCTTTTTTGGAATCTTATCACCTTCTAAAGTTTTTTCTTTTTCAACATTTTCATCACGAGTCCTTTCATTTTCATTTTTTCTTAATTTATTAACAATTTCCACCACGGTTCTCCTTGCGGTGTATTTGGTATATTTTTTTGAACCTTCAACTACACAATGTAAAATTTTTAATGTCAATGTCAAAAATATAAGTAATATTATGAAATACATGTCAAAAATTATAAAATTCAACATGTGATGATCAAATTGCAAAAACTTTTTAGAAATTCACATTATGAATCTGTGAGAATGTGAGATATACATCGAAGATTCACAATGTGAATCTTTACATTTCATACCAAAAACAGGTTGAGGTTCACCAAGTGATGTACACATACACATGGTGAATCTTTTCACTTATTTTGTGCATAGTGAAAACAAGCGAAAGTGGTAATCAACTTGGAAATCTTTTTTAAGAGATTAACATTGTCAATCTGTGAGGGTATGGGTTACATCAAAGATTCACAATGTGAATCTTTACATTTCATACCAAAACAATTTGAGGTTCACCAAGTGATGTACACATACACATGGTGAATCTTTTCACTTATTTCGTGCGTAGTGAAAACAAGCGAAATTGGTAATCAACTTGGAAAACATTTTTAACAGATTCACATTGTGAATCTTTGAGAATGTGAGATGTACATCGAAGATTCACAATGTGAATTTATGCATTTCATACCAAAACAGGTTGAGGTTCACTAAGTGATGTACACATACACATGGTGAATCTTTTCACTTATTTTTTTCATAGTGAAAACAAGTGAAAGTGGTAATCAACTTGAAAAACATTTTTAAGAGATTCACATTGTGAATCTGTGAGGCAATGAGTTACATCAAAGATTCACATTGTGAATTTATGCATTTCATACCAAAACAATTTGAGGTTCACCAAGTGGCGTACATATACACATGGTGAATCTTTTCACTTCTTTTGTGCATAGTGAAAACAAGTGAAAGTGGCGATCAACTTGCAAAATTTTTTAAGAGATTTACATTGTGAATCTGTGAGAATGTGAGATATACATCGAAGATTACAATGTGAATCTTTACATTTCATACCAAAACAAGTTGAGTTTTACCAAGTGATGTACACATACACATGGTGAAGCTTTTCACTTATGTTGTGCATAGTGAAAACAAGCGAAATTGGTAATCAACTTGGAAAACATTTTTAAGAGATTCACATTGTGAATCTCTGAGAATGTGAGATGTACATTGAAGATTCACAATGTGAATCTTTACATTTCATACCAAAACAATTTGAGGTTCACCAAGTGATGTACACATACACATGGTGAATCTTTTCACTTATTTTGTTCATAGTGAAAACAAGCGAAAGTGGTAAGCAACTTGGAAAACATCTTTAAGAGATTCACATTGTGAATCTTTGAGAATGTGAGATGTACATCAAAGATTCACAATATGAATCTCTATATTTCATACCAAAACATTTTGAGGTTCACCAAGTGATGTACACATACACATGGTGAATCTTTTCACTTATTTTGTGCATAGTGAAAACAAGCGAAAGTTGTAATCAATTTGGAAAACATTTTTAAGAGATTAACATTGTGAATCTATGAGGCTATGAGTTACATCAAAGATTCACATTGTGAATTTAAGCGTTTCATACCAAAACAGGATGAGGTTCACCAAGTGATGTACACATACACATGGTGAATCTTTTAAATTATTTTGTACATAGTGAAAACAAGCGAAAGTGGTAATCAACTTGCAATTTGTTTTAAGAGATCCACATTGTGAATGTGTGAGAATGTGAGATATACATCGAATATTCACATTTTGAATTTATGCATTTCATACCAAAACAGTTTGAGGTTCACCAAGTGATGTACACATACACATGGTGAATCTTTTCACTTATTTTGTGCATAGTGAAAACAAGTGAAAGTGGTAAGCAACTTGGAAAACATTTTTAAGAGATTCACATTGTGAATCTTTGAGAATGTGAGATGTACATCGTGTTGGATAAGGTATCTAAGTCCATAACTATATTTGGTATATACTTGACCCGATTTAGCATTGTCCATTTGGGTTGCATGACATCGAAACAATTGGATAGACAAAATGAGAAAAAGGACACTTATGATTTGTTAATATATTATAAGCTCTAATATATTAATATGAAATCATATTATTTAATTAGTATTGATCAAGAATTAATTTGGAATTAATTTTGTGATCAAAAGAGACTAATTAAATATATGGGGATTGATTTGGTAAATCATTCATTCTTATATAGTGGGCTTATGATCCATGATTCATTAGATTGGGCTAAAACCCATAGGGTGCTCCATGGATGCTCCATGGAGATTAAAACCCATGGATCATGGAGGAAATGAAAAGTCATGCACATTAGGGTTTACATGGTGTAACCCTACATGTGACACACGATATAAAGAGCCCCATGGCAACAAAATTGGCACTAAGACATAAGGGTGAGGGCTAGCCGAATTTTGTGCACAAGTGTTCTTATCTCAAGTTATTCCAAGAGTTGTGGTGTTGTGTGAAGCATTTGAGGCATCACATTTGGGGTTCTACGCTCACAAGGTCTTAAGGAATCCAAGCTACAAGAAAGGTATGTCATTCTACTAGTTTTGTATTACATATACCCCATGATATGCTAGTTAGGATGAAACCTTGGAAAAAATGAAAGTTTGCATGTATAATAGAGAAAACATAGATCCAAGGTTTCTAGGGTTTCATGTACACCATTGGAGTGTTAGAATGCTCAAAACCCATCAGTGGTATCAGAGCCTAGGCTTGTTTTCAATTATACTTGATGCAAATTGCTTAAAAAATCGATATTTCTACTCATTGTTCAGTGAACTCGCCGAGTCCATGGGGGGACTCGACGAGTCCATGTGAAAACTCATCCAACTCGTCGAGTTGGTTCATGCACTCGACGAGTCGGAGCCCCTGAGTGCAGAATTTCGAGTTTTATTGTTGGAATTGGACTAGGATCATTACCCTAAACTGTTTATAGATTGTTACACCTGTTTTTGATGTGGTAATGATTGTGCTTATCCAATTTCAATGATAATTGTCAAAGTTTCAAGTTTTATATTAAGTTCATATGATACTTGAAAATTGTTGATTTGAATTATGCATGCTTATGAGTTTGTTAGATCATAGAAATTATTTGACATGCTTGTTAGTGTAATTGTTGATCTAAATGCTTTTTAATGGACTCCATAACTTGTCCTCAAGTTATGGAATTCCAAAAGTCTTTTCCATTAAAATCATTAAAACTCATAAGTTATAGAAATGAAAGGTTTTGAATAGTTTCAAAACTTGCCTTCAAGTTTTGGAATTTGTAAAGTCACTTTAGAAAACTTTAATTCCAAACCCTAGAATTTTAAAAGTTTAAAATTCAACCCTTATACTATTATGGTATTATAAGTTAATAATATATATATGTATAAGATCAAGTCAGTCTTACCATTAGTAGGCCTCATTCACGAAGCCGGTCTATAAGGGGGTATAAGGTTGTTTCCTATAAAATGGCAGCTTAATGGGTGTCCACTCTCACCCACCGCTTCGTTGACCGGTGGAGGGTCGTTAGCCGAACGGGTAGGAAAAAGACTATAATTCTCATTAAAAGTATAATGATAAATATAAAGTAACTAAACCTTTTATAAATTCCCAATCTTAGTTACTTTAGGAAAATGTGAAATTGATGCTAACCTATGAAATTACACTTTGCACCTTGCTAAAGTCGTTAGTGGAGTGTGTGTGGTTAACCGTCACACTAACTTGGACTTAACAAGGGTGTCAAAGGGTGACTTAAGGTTTATCATAGATCGGTGGAGCGTGTGTGGTTAACCGGCACATCGATTAGGTGATAAAATTAAGGGTAACAAGTTAATTTGCATGGTTATTCACACCTTGTTTGTGATCCTCGGTATCCCAGTCACAAACTTGAAGGGCATAATAAAGATTTAAACATGCCATTGAATTGTTCAATGAATCTCAAAAGATCTAGGAGTTGCAATCCAGTTAAAACCTAATAGTCTATTTCATTTTTCATGGTGGAAATTGGTAAATCG